CGACAGAGAGAAATGAGGTCAACATACTACCGGATGGTATATGCTGCTCGACAGAGAGAAATGAGGTCAACATACTACCGGATGGTATATGCTGCTCGACAGAGAGAAATGAGGTCAGCATACCCATAGTTAACCACTCCAATGAAGGCCTAGTTTTCAGAAAAGGAGAATTGGTAGGTGAGTGGGAGGATAACGCTTGGATTAAACCAAGGTATATCGAGCCTGACAGGAATATGCTGGATCTGGATAGACCTAGAGTGGCTTCTTCCGAGAGTCGGAATGATAGGCTAATGAAAATTATCCTAGACCAAAATCCAATACCTGATAAAGCAGCAGCGTTGTTGAAGGAATTTAACGATGTGTTTGCTGTAACCGACGCAGAGTTGACGCAAACTGATCTAGTGGTCCACGAGATTGACACAGGGGATCATAAGCCCATAAGACAAAAAACTAGGCCTGTTCCCATAGCAGCACGCAAGGAATTCAAAGAAACTATCAAAGATCTGGTAGGAAGAGGCATAGTTGAAAGGAGTTCCTCTGATTGGGCGTCTCCGGTGGTTTTGGTAAGGAAGAAAGATGGCACTCTGAGAGTATGCATCGACTATAGAGAGCTGAATAAGGTGATTCGGCAAGATTCGTACCCCCTACCAAAAATTGATACCGTGCTACAATGTCTCGCTGGGAAGAAAGGTGTTCTCTACGATGGATCTCGCCTCCGGATATTGGCAAATACGTCTGTCCGAAGATGCAAAACGGAAAAGTGCGTTCACAACGAGTGAGGGCTTGTTCCAGTTCACGGTACTGCCTTTTGGTCTATCAACGAGCCCAGCAGTTTTCCAAAGAATGATGGACATGGTTCTAAAAGGTTTGGAGCTAGAAGACGAAGTTTTCGTGTACATTGATGACATCCTAGTAGCCACAGAGTCAATAGAGCGACATTACGTAGTTTTGCGGAAAGTGTTTGAGGCGCTACGTAAAGCAAACTTGCGGCTAAAGCCACAAAAATGTACCTTCTTCCGAGAAAGTGTGTCGTTCCTCGGACATTACATCGACAAAGACGGAGTGAGGACGGACCCAGAGAAGATACGCAAGATCGTGGAGTATCCGTTACCCACAAGTGCCGCAGAGCTAAGGACATTCTTGGGAATGGCCTCGTATTACAGAAAGTTCATAGCGGGTTTCGCGAAATTGACTAAGAATTTGTACAGGTTATTGAGCCCGAAAACTGCCTGGAGTTGGACCCCTGAACTTGATCAGCGTTTTCAAGATCTCAAAAGAGCGCTAACTAGTGCGCCTGTCCTTGCGCAACCAAACGTTCCAGCAGCTGAGAACGGCAGTAGGCCATTCATAATTTATACCGACGCATCTGGTGAAGGGCTTGGAGCGGTGCTCTGCCAGGAGGGAGACGACCGATTTCTCCACCCTATAATGTTCGCGTCAAAGGGCTTGTCAAAAGCAGAAAAGAATTACCACATCACTGACCTTGAAGCATTAGCCTTAGTATTTGCGCTGAAGAAATTTCATTTTTTCGTGTACGGGTTGCGGACGATAGTGCGCACTGATCATCACCTTTGACGTGTTTATTCAAAAGGACGAATGTGTCCGCACGCGTTCTAAGATGGGCCTTGGAAGTTCAAAAGTATAAGCTGGAGATTGAGTATGTCTCGGGCAAAGCCAACGCAGTGGCTGATGCTTTATCGAGGAGTGCGGCAAAACTGTCGGAGGGGAACCTACTGTCCCAGAAAACGACATGGTTATTTGTGAAGTGAAGGAGCAGGAAAGCGAGTGGCTGCAGGAGCTAAAAGAAGATCCGACTATAAACAGCTCATCACCGATGTCTTGCAAAACA